TTGTTGTTGTTGTTGTTATTTTTCATCTATTTTCCTTCAAATCCTAAACCCGTTTGTTATATACAACACAATTAACTTTTCATTTGATGATTTGCTCATTAACGCTTGCTATTCTTGTGAGGGGACTTGTCATTTGTTCAGTGTTGCTTACTACGCAGCGTCTCACATTTGACAGACAGCCTGTTTTTACATTCACCTTTTACATATCTGTTGTTTATTTTTGGTGTCACCGTTTGTTCTTCTCTCGAACGAAGCTGTGTATATTGCTCTTCAAAATAAACGATATAAAATAGTCTTACATATTTAGCTAAATGATTTGTCAGTGGTTTCAAGGGAAGTAATTTTGTCACTTTCCTGCATATGATTGTAAAAAAACTTTAAGCGTTAAACCCAAAGAGTTACTTACATAGTATTACAGTAGGGTAGCAACATCCTCGACCAAAGCATTTTTTGCTCACAGAGAGATAGTCTCTATGATAGACTATTTAATGTACAAATGTGCTATACTAACCGCCTAAAGTTTGGTTTTCTCTTTCACTTTGAGCCTCATTTTGTTTGTTTTCCTTCCTTTGTTCTGTTTGGTCAACATGAAGTTTATGAGACTTATGATTTTCAATGTTGGCATAAATTGAGTCGTTCACCAAGGCATTGGTCACTGTTGAAGACCTCGGGACTCACAGAACCGGTGGCTAGAGACGTTAGGTAACAGACTAGCCAATCAGGCTCAGTGACTTGAATATTGTCGTTGCTTGGTCGAGTTGTCTGTGAAGTGAGTGCATTTAATGATGCGTGGCAGTGGAAGCCATAAAGAAGTTTTCTTCCTTATGACGCCATAGTTTCACGTATAGATCGGTTGTTTGTTCATAAGGTTGTAGATTAGACCCAGTTGTGAAAAGTCGGAGCTTCGGCTGGATTCGAACCAGCGATAGAAACATACCCAAACGTGTCGAGCGCTGTACCAGCTGAGGTACGAAGCTACGCCGGGAGCTCAGGAATTTCACATTTGGACTCTGTTACCCACCAGACCAACTATCTCGTATGGAATCCACCAAATGATCTAGGGGATAAACTGTCCCGGCACCTGGATGTTGATTGTCTGAATATAAACCTGACTATTTCCGGTAGTTAAGATTTCCCCTCTGTTTTTTCTTTTTAGCCAATTCTTGCATTGCCATTCATCGTTCTATGGCAGTTAAGCATCAGTGTGAACCACTGATGTGTTACTGTTTATGATGGTGTTGGTGATGATTGCGTTAAATTTTCCGTTCGAAACATATTACACACGTGTACAAACGTTATAAACACTGAACACTGTACTGACAGCCATAAGTTTGTGTCCTCCGAATAACGCAGATGGTGACAGTTTGAGAACAAATCATATCAAGTTAGTACCATTCATAAACATCGGATTAATGGAATGCATACAGTCCGTCTTATAGTCTTATTTTTTATAACGGTCACCATAGCGAACGAAAGAGGTAGTACTTATTTTTTTGTTTTCATTATGTGTCCGATGTTCATCCAAACAATGAAGTGTTTATACGTTCCATGTCAATCGTATTATTCGCCGGACTGAACAAGATGTTAGCAGGTTAGTTCGTTCGGTGGATAATGAACTTAGCGTTTATCATTAGTTACTGGTACGAATCATGTTTAGACTGCTTGTACTTGACTGATCCGACCAGTTGTTGGTGCGTGTTTGAGGACTACTCAATACTAACTGAACATCGTTCACAGATTTCTTATTCGGACCGACTTGTTAGAAGACTTCCTGCTATAAAAAGTACTAAATCTGAGTTTCATACTTGTTACGTCTCATCAATTAGATTTAATCTTTCTAGCACCATGATTTGGTCTCCCGATCAAGTTTAGATGTGATTATTCGGCCGTGCCTAGTGAGCGGTCAATGGTACCGCGGTCAGTGACGTTGTCTAGTGAAAATGGCCACCGGCGTCGAAATCACGCTGGAGACAAGGGTGTAGACCACTGTCTAGCCCTAACACGAAGGTAACTGGGTCCAAATGCTCCTTCTACTGGGGTTGGAAGAAAATCCATTCTAATGCGAAACTTGCTGTATAGCATGCACTTTCGGTTGTGAGTACTGTGGCACGTACACTCGGAACAAAGGAACAAGTCACAACGTCAGCAAAACGAGGGACCAGAAGCAATTATTGGAAACATGTACACGAACTGCGTAAGACGTGTCACCATGACGAACGACTGCTGCCCAGCAGGTACGGATACACGTTAGTGATGCACATTAGTGTTCGCATTCGTTATTCTGTTTTCACAAAATTTGTAATAGACTTCAGGCAATAAACAACTTCTCGGATCAAGCGTCTTTTGCGATTATAACAAGATGACTCGCTCTCAAATTACATCAATCCAAACAATGGCAAAACCGGTCCCAATGAAATGTTCAGTGATAGTGTGCGCCGGAGAACAACTGACGTCCAACTTCACTTAAACTGAACTTACGAAAGCATGAGATTGGCGTGTGAATTGCGGAAATCTACAGAAGATTACTTTTGACGGTCATTTGAAGAGGGCAGTCGAATCACAAAACTTATGGTTATCAGCCATGAAATTGCTAGGGAATTAGCTTGTAATTTGCGAAGAACAATTTCTAAAATATATACAGAAGGCAAATGTTAACTAATGACAGCATGATAGTTTCCAAACACTGAAGATTGCAATCTGTAGATGAGAAAAATTGATTGCATTTGCGCATCAGTCTATCAAAGTAAAGATCAATGCTAACATGAACACATTTTGTTTTCAGAGAAATGAAGAAACTTTTTGAATTTCAGAGTAGAACAAAAGTTACTGAGTTCGCTCCAGACTAGGTAATAAAAACGTATTAAAAAAGACGATTTTTTGGCTTCCACATTGGATTTCGATTTGTAACGAATCATGCTGTTTTATTTCTCATTAACGTACAAATTTCCTTCATTTTAATAGTTGGCAAAATGTAAGTTTGTGCTGATTTTCAAACAGAATCCGTCACAATGGGATTAAGCAGATTGACATAGTTGGTGGAATACGATTTGGATTAGCCTGTTACAGTGAACGAAGCCAAAGGACGCCTGCGCTTTAAACCATCATCCCAAATGGCTTGCGCTGCACCACTTGCTGTTTCACTCACACACTATGTATCCGGTGTAAACCCGAAGGACTAAGACCTGTGGGTGTGTGAGTGAGGCCTTTGTGTCCAACCAGCCAATGCTGGATAGCCAATTGAATGGCTAGCACGAAAAGGAAACCCTTATCTCTTGGAAAATAAACAATCAGAGAGACTGCAATGACAAGATCCCAACTGAGTAGAAAGATATGTGAAGTGTAATACAAAAAGTATTACAGTATACGAGTGCATGTTAATGTATTCTAGGGAGGATAAATTTGAAAAACAAAAATCAAATTTGAACTACGAAAAGATCAGGCAGACAATTCATCATTCAATACGTCAACAAACCTGAAGAAAAAAATGGGTATAAGACTGCACACACCCAAGTTGCTTGAATATAAACAAGCAAATTGACATACATACATACATACATACATACGTACATTTGTTGTCAGTGTTATCAGTTTCACTGAGAAAATTCCGTCTACTTGCAATTGTCCATTGCTGCAAAGTAAGACATACATTCTGATTATCCAACTCCTTCCTAAGGAGACACTGCAATTTTTCGGTCAACTCCAGTCAACAATTACGACTACACGGACGTATAACAGTTTGGTAGTGTCTAGTGTGATATTAGTGGTGCAATGGTCAGCACAGATACCTTATGATATGGTAGCTAGAGTTCCCATTTCGGGAAAGATAATGATATACGCTACGGGTGAACTGTAACAGAAAATTTGGAGTATTGCGTTTCTTTGATAAAGTGGCTGACTGAGAGTCTACCGGAATTCCGTGGCTACGATCAGCTCAGGTCAGCTGGTCAGGTCATATTAACCCTACTGCTTATCAGTAACCGTGATTACTGTTCACATGAAAATGTTTGATTCGATCGACCCAGTCCAGCCGATAAAGTGAGAATCAGACTCAGACAGTTGTATGAAGTATTGATGTGTTTCCCCAGACGTGTAATACACATAGCTCTCACTAATGGAAGGTGCTTTGGGCTTACACCTCAGAATGTGTGATACCCACCTTTTCTGGCCAACTCATTGATAAAACGCATTTGGTTGTGATGGCGACTGTTCGTTCAATGGTTTCTGAAGGTGTTCCTAATCGTGTGCAATCAACATTAAGCCTCAGGGGCCATAGCAGTGGTAGATTGGAACGCGTGACTCAGAAGTGCACACCACATTATCGCATTTACAAGCGGTACGTGAACGAATGGGGCGTTGGCCATTGCGGGCGCGACCAATCAGAACGTAGCTTGAGCCCTAGCACACAGGCGGCCTTCACGCATACACGACAGTTTCGGAGCCATGTCAACGCCTTGGTCACTCGTTTTACGGTAACTGAAACGAAGCGTAAGGACTAAAATCCTGCTTACTAAGGCATATGGTCCGGCTCAAAACTCAAGTTTCTTCAAAAGCAGAAAAAACCTACTGGTTTTATTCTCTCGATGTTTATTAGATCAGCTGATCAGGCGGCTCACTAAAGAGTTTGCTTAATAGAAAACCGACCTGAACGGGGTCACGTATTTACGTAATTTACGCCACTGAAACAAATGGGAAATTTTACCAACTGTCTCGGGAATAGTAAAATTAAAATTGGAACCGAACATCCAACAAGATTTTACTCAAACCTCTTCCTGACATGATAGTTCCACGGTTTGGTTCATAACAAATCATAGAATGGAACGTTAATAACCCCATCTGACTGCCCGAATAGAGATGAATGCAATCTCCAGCATGGTGATATGGCAACAGGTTTTCTAAATCGTAGACTCCATAATACTTTATAAAGGGTCCTGTCTGCAGCACTATCAGAGTTTTGGTCCAAGGGAACCTGTTCATGAGCAAAGGAAGGTTTATTCTTTCAGTTGATCTTGTACAACGAAACCTACTGGACGCATCACGAAACAGTTTGAAAAACGGAGAATTGGGCACCACCCATCCCGACCTAAGCATGCAGGCAAAAAATCGATAACTACAGTTGAATATGTGGCAGATACCTAACGAAACATGAACTCTGATATATTCCCGAGTCGTCTACAAAGCTTCTCGCCAGCAATCATGGCTATTTCAACGCCGAATCATGGCGATGACTGAAGCGGTCGCGCTTCGATTACAATATCGTATGTTACCTTGTCATAAAAGTCCTTGGGGTCAGTCGTCCCTGTCTTCCTCCATTCACTAGCATACACGACATTCACAGCGAGCCATAATTTAGAGTTTACTAACAGAGTTATTTCGTGTTTAATCAACGCTTACTATTTTACCGGTAGGAATTTATGACCTGATGAAGCGGCTCTCAGTAACACAGGTTATACAAGTAATTTTCTATTTGTCTTCATTGAAAGTGAACAAATCCAACTAAGAGAGAAATATATTCTGTTTTCATCTCATAATCATAATTATTCACTCACTGTATTAGTGACTGAATTTAAAACTGCACTTGTCATGCCTCGTGTTTCCGAAACCTGGCCTAGATCATCTGGATATCTGTTGTTCACGAAGGCACGTGCAGATAATGACGAACATTTGTGCTTCTGGTCAGAAATGGAGAATCCTCCTGATAAACATGCATCATAACGACTAGTGTCTGACCGTTTACCAGCCTTTTTCCAACAGATTAAACAAACTAAGCTGAATCCACTTTTGTTGACAGAGAAAACTGTTGAATTTTATATCATCTGACTAGATGGTGTAAATGGTAACCAGCTAGCCGCCTAGTTTGAAATTGCTTGCGCGCTTATTGGGCACACAGTCTACAATACAACGGTAGTAAATAACTGCATGCAATTAATGTTTACAATATGTAGACAATTACCTATTAGAGTGTGGCTAATGGGTAAAC